TTTCACCGCCCTTGTTTTTCACTACTCGTCGCTTCTCATCCAATTTGTTAGTCGTCGGGTCGGGTATATCAACGGATCTTGTTTCTTCCTATTACTGAATCAACATCGATCCTTTCCTTTTCGATTTCTCATCCAATTCCTTTTTTTCCTCCTCCACCTTCTCCTTACCAATCAGAAATTTGAGGGATTTTTGAACAAATTATTTAGGATAAAGGTGAAATTTGGGAAATTATTTCATACTTGTAGAATTATTCGTTCAAAAGAAGGAAAAAAAACAAAACATAAATGGCATGTTTAACTACAAATATCTTCTACAATAAAAATTTCACGATAATAAGAATTTTTAGATCAGACGGAAGATATTAAAGATAACAACAGTAAATGATGAATGCAAAAGTTGGATGACAAATTTGTTTTTTTCTTTTCCCTTCAAATTCAATGTTACAACGAACGGCTTTGTATAAGCAGTTCAATGTTTCAAAAGTTAATTTTAATTTTTAAGGTTTTTAGAATAAAAACAAAATTGTACAATGTTAACGTGAGAGGAAATTTTTACCAATTAAAAAAGAAGAATTCAATCTTCGCTCATATCTTTTTTTCGGATTTTTCATTACACAATCTTTTCTGCCTCAATGATGAAAATGAAGTAGAGGCTTTCTGTTCCTTTTTTTGTCTCTTTTAAGTGAAAACTAAAAATTTATCCATTCAAATTTTGAAAAAGAAAGGAACCCTCCAAAATAAAAGAATGAATGTCTGAAGGATTGAATGGAAAGGTAAAAGATATGGGGGTGAAGATGTCCTTTATCGACTTTGTGGTGCCGAAAATTGCAATGTACTTCAGTTGAGCACCTGTACCCTTCTAAACTCATTAAACTATGGGGTACAGTGATGGGAATAGGAGGAAATGACTATAAAATCACTTTTTTTTTCTTTTTTCGAAATTTTTATAATTGTCAGATATAATAATTTGGTTCAAAAATTACTCTTTAAGTATTGAATTTTAATAAAATGGAAGTTTATTAGTTTAAACTATCTTAAATTTCGAGAAAAAAATATTAACTTGCATTTTTCAAACTAACTATTTATATCACTGGCCATGAAAAGAAGGTGCCATATTGTCGGGTTAGCTAACGGCCGACAAGGGTCATCCGGATTTCAAATCATCCTCGTAGTGATGGTATTTTGAATATGGCATCATCTTGATTGGTCCAATTTAGGAGGTAATTAACTGTAATTTACTGTTGTATATTAATTGGAAAAACAATCACTCATGGCATTCGATGCATACACATCCTTAATGGTTAGAAATGAGGTGAAGGAATAATTGTGCAGATGGAAAATCGCAGTATAAGACTGTCCCGATGGTGCATGCATACGTGGATGGATTGATCTGTAACGTTCGTTTATAAGCAGCTTTCCACTTTTAAACAAATCCAATTCCTTCTCATTTTTCGAAAAAGATAAAAAAGAGTGTCAAAATGAGCGGAAAGTTAAGTGCATACTGTATTTCATTTCTCACTTTATTTTTGAAAAAAATGAAAAAAGAGGAAGAAACTTAATAAATTTAAATTCACACCTTGTAACAAATACTTTCAGATTACTTTTTGTAGAATTAACAAATTAGAAGAAAAACGCTTCGTTTAACAAAATAAATTTTGCAAAATTAAATGAATATAATGGAATTGAATAGTTTATAAGGAGTAAATAGGGTAATTGCCGTATTTCAGTTTATCCCATTTCAAGAGGAAATAGTTTGGGTGTATACTGAAATAACAATAATAAAATGAAATTGAAACTGGGAGAGAAATCCGGCTTTCATGATCGTATATAAGCAGTAGTGAGAGTCTGAGAAATCTTGGTATTCTGAGAAAAAAAAATCTTGATAGTGGGAAAGTGAGATAAAACTTTTAACTGTCAGCATTTTTTTTTCATTTCGCAAATTTACTTCATTTAATTTCTAAGAAATTTCGTTGTGAAATATCGCTTTTTTCTTAAATAAACTAATACTACAACTTAAATAGGCTAATACTATAGCCATGTATTATTTTAATATGCTAATTAAGTGCAGCTTCGTTAAACTACAGGTGTCACCAGTGAAAAAAATTTTCAATTCATTTAAAAGAAAAAAAACGATACAAATTTTTAGATATTTTTGTAACAAAACACTTTCTTAGTACAATAATATAGAACACGTGCGATGAACCCATCTAATAGGTCTATTCTTTAAAAAGAAATGGATTTTTTCTTTTCTCTTTTATTTCGTCTATTCATTGGAATCAATGCACGACTTGCACCTTTATTGCATGCAAATTTGCAACAGCTGCAGTTCGAACAAAACTGGAATAAAGGCAATCTTTGTAATGGTAGTAATATATGAATATGGTGATAGGTTTGCATTTATTTTTTTCAAAACAAAAAAAAAATAATCTTCAAATTTTTATTTGATAGTTAATTAAATGAATAATAAAGGAATGTTGATAAATTTTTAAATATCTGCATAAAATATCAAATATTTTTGACAGAGAAAAGTTAATTACCGTTATCGAATGCAATTTGAAGATAACATACAGCAATACAAAGCATATGATGATATATTACTGCAATACTGAAGTAAAGATACATAATTACTATGTGTGATTAATGTATGCGTACATTAGGTATTCAATTACTGTTCATGAACATACCTGTCTGTATATTTCATCGCATTAAGAATTCAAAGTGTTTTCACAGATTTTGTTATTTGAAGAAAGCAGAAGCTGATTGATTTATTGATTTCTTGTCCAATAACAGTCCATTTTCTCTTAAATTTTTAAGAAAATTAAGAAAAGGAAAAAGCAGGTGCATTGATAGGTGTACAAATGTGTTATAACAAAAAGGGAAGTTTTTATCCAGACGACATGTCACAGCTGCTGTCATCAATGATGTCGCATTGAAAGCCTTGTCAGGAATTGAACAAACTGTCAAGATAGATAAATTCCCGGATGGCAAAAATTGCTTAGCATGATGAAATAATTTCGAACAAAAAGATTTTAACTCCTCCATCAATCATTCATAAACTCATTTCAGATCATACATTCAATTCATTCTTTCATTCTATGAAAATATATCCAATCAAAAGAAACCAAAGAAAGCTGTTCATTTTTGAAATACTTTCAAAAACGAATATTATATCAGAAATTTGCTTGAAGAAAATTCTCCCAGCAATGATTCATGTCAGATTTGAATACAAAACCAATGAAATTTTTTTCTCTTTAATAGCAATCATCGATAAAATATATATAAATATGAAATGAAAAAGGGAAATAAATTTGATAATTTCTTTTTCAAACTGTAAAAATTGCTTTCCATTAAGTTTTACAAATTATTATCATTTATAATTTTTTCTTCTTTTGCTCCAATTTTATGGGACGAAGCAATGAATTATTATTTTTAAAATAAGTCTTCAGCAATTAAATTTCTCACATCGATCATTTTTTACTGATTTTGAAGAAGAGAAAACTGAATAAAGAGGCTTTTGGAATTTTATTTTAATAATTATATTACTAATGGATAATAATTCTTTCATCAGTTCTTTCTTTCGCACAATCTTTTATTGACTAATTTATTAAAATTTTTTTAATAATATCATTTAAAAGATTATTAGTATAAGTTTCAGTATAAGTTTTTAGTCTTTTTCCAATTCCTGCTATTTTTGTTTAATTTACATCAAATTTCCAATAAATCAGTTTAATTAATTATTTTTTGAATTACACTAAAATTTGAGATAAGTTATAATCAGCTAGGAATGCAACAATACATTCCTTCCGGCTCAAGTGTTGAAATATGTTTTACCACGTTGAAGGGTTTAGTAAAATAGGCGACGACGGACAGAGGAATTGAACATCTGCCTGAATGCAGCAAATTGCCCGGACAATAATTGCCAGTACATTTACTTTTTTCCAATGTAAATGTATTACGTCATAACAAGCAATCTTATAGCTTGCATCATTTATTAGCTTATGCTACATATTAAACAATATGGAAGATAAAATATGATGTAATTAATGTGAATTGAAAAATATGGAATAGAAATATATGACTGAAAGGCAAACAAATTTTACTTTTGTCGTTTCAAATTCATTACTCGAATTCCAATGGATATTAGCTTTTTCGAAAATTATTCCAATTTTTAGTTCCACCTTCAAATGATTTTTTAATTAATTATTAAATGACCGAGATAATGTTATTCATTAAAATAAGTAATGTGTCATACAGTTACAAAAATTTCTCTCTGTCAAACAGTAAGCATTAAAATTTTATTTGAATTTATAAATTAGAAAAGATAAGATTTGGTTGACGGAACGATTAGTGTACAGAAAAGATTTATCTCAAAGCCCTGAACGAGTGCCAATTGAAATGGTAAAATTAAGTTGATTACTGTCCTTCTTAAGTATTGGTGAAGTGCTTTGCAAAACTATTCGTTTACACTTTTAGTGAGTAGAATATATAGCAAAATATTTGTGCTAAAATAAAAGTTTTACCCATGAATTTTTAAAGTTATTCAATATTATCTTTATTTACTCATCCATTACTTATTTTTTATTCTTTATTATTCGTACTATCTCTGTATCGGTCAATAATTTCATATATTGTTTAAATCGTAACGGGTAAATTGGTTTCTTCTTGAGTTAAACAAAAAATTCTTTTCCACGAGTCTTTCATTTGAAATTCAGAATTCCGATCCAAATTTTTTCATATAAATAATTACTCGTCAGTGCAAACATAAAATTGAAATTCGGGATTTAATTAATTGATATTATTAAAATGAAATTTGTAAGACTCGAATGATCGAAAAGAAGTCCCATAAGTTATTATTGATCTACTACTACACTGGAATTTATTTAAAAATTTTTTAATTAATTTAGTGAAATCAAATTATTTTGTTTGAAGAATTTTCGAAATTCTACGGAATTTTTGAAATATTTTTCTTTTCGCTTCAGAATGTTTCACTTTTGGTTGAGATGCGACATGAACCCAACAAAGCAATTATGTTTCGTTCGGAGAATTTCCTTCAATTATCGCCATCCAACGATGTGCTAAGAATTACTGAGGTATCTCATTCGCTCCATTCATTAGCTTCAATTTCAATCTTTTTTGAAGCTTAACAGATCGATTAAATAATTCAGACTAAAATGTTCCAACACCTCAATATATTGAAGTGCAATTGGTGCCATTAAAATTAAAATATTGTACAAGATTAATAAAATCCTTCGATATGACATTTTCAAAATAAATGGTAAATATGAGATACGAATTTTTATACAATTTGATTGCAAGTATTAGAAATTAACGTAAATTTAAGTTAAATTTGCAGGAGAAAGGTAATACAAAAATAGAATACGATGTGAAAGTTGAATGTGGGAAGAATTACTATGGACAGGAATGTGCCATTTTCTGTAATCCGAGCATCGGAAGGTTAGCTTTTCATTGTTTCAATCTACAATTCAACAAATTGCAAGAATTACCTGCCCAATAATTTGCCTTCAAATTTTAATTTTCTTTTATTTTTTAAATATCTTCATTCTTGCTGTTTATTAATTTCTTTAAATTACAGTTTTCATTTCAAATGTTCATCGGATGGACGACGTTTATGCGAAGATGGCTGGAGTGGACAAAATTGTAATGACCCAATTTGCGCTAATGGTTGTATTAATGGATATTGTGTTTCACCTGGAATATGCAAGTACGTATAATTCATTACGCTTTTTTTCTATTTCAATACTGAAAATTTGCTGAAATACATTAGGTTAATTTAAATAAAATTAATGCACTTAACCCGTAGTTTACTTTATCCCATCTCAACAAATAATATTAATTACTTTAGAATCATAACACTGCACTTATCGATATCAGTTGGAAACAATACTTTTCTTAATCAATTAGCTAACCCTAAACTAGCTATTCTTTTTTTGGAATCTGTTTAATATATATTAAATTGTAATATTGAAGCTTATTAATTAAACTGTTTTTTAATGATGAAAAAAAGGAATTAACTTATTAAGATGTCGTAATGGATGGCAAGGTAATAGTTGTGATCGTTGTAAACCACAGGATGGTTGTAAAAATGGTTATTGTAGCAAACCTAACGAATGTATTTGCGAGAAGAATTGGGGTGGAACATATTGTGACAGGTGAATTTCGTTTTCTTTTTTGTTTTTCTGTTACATCATTAAACTTCCGTCTTTTTTTGAAAAACATTTAATCCATTAAAAAGAGATATTTTTGAAATAAAGAATTTCTTCCTTTTTTGTGAATGAATAAATTGATGACCTTCATATGCTTATCACATTATGAATTTCAGAGATTTAGATTATTGCTTTCATAATTCTCCATGTTTGAATGGCGGAAAATGTTCAAGCGGAGGATTACAAAATTATTACTACTGCAACTGTACGAATGGTTTTGGTGGACAAAATTGTGAAATTAAGGTAATTATTTTTGATATTTTAGAAGATCAGTAATACTTGCAGATGAAAGAATCAAGTTAATTCTTTCATTCTCAAATGACATATGAATTATAGTGGTTTTGTATATTAAGATTTTGCGTGAATACACTGCAAAAAATTTTGGAAACGAAAAAAAATATGGCAGCCAAAATTCTAAAAAATTATCTTTTTAATACCTTAAATAACTGGGAAAAAGTGTGAAAATGTTTTTACAGTTGGATCCATGCGCTAAAGTAAACTGTGGCAAATACGGTCAATGCAGAGCTTCATGGAATTCGGAAAGGAAATATCTGTGCTACTGTGATGTGACTCATTACGGTGATCATTGTCAGTATCGGATGGATGAAAGTAATCCAATGGATAGTGAGTATTACCTTTCTCAATTAACAATGTACATGATTCAATAATTGTTGCAATATTCATATCGGTTAAACATCAAAGCTCGAATGTTTTTAAATTGATAGTGAAATTTCGCATCCAATTGCTCTTTTAATGATTAAATTGTGTTTTTTTATTGGCATAAAATGAAATTGGATCGGAATCAAATATTAGCTGCCATGAAACAATGGCTTCATGAGTTATAAACGTATGGATAGATTAAGAAAACTGTGTATTTCACTTTTAGATTTGAAAATTTAAATGTATTCGATGTCTTGTATCATTCCATCTTATAATCAGAAGATCTCACAATTGCAGTTCATTTTCAACGTTCATTTCAACCAGAAAGTTGCAAATTATCGAATTCGGAATCCATGCCAGCTGGATTTAGTTGGACTACTGTTGATTGTCGACATTGCATATGCCAAAAGGTCAACTTTTGTGTTTAGTCGTATATTCATGTGAAATACTGAGGAATTTCTCGAATTTCAACAATCCAAAACAGAAATATTTCAGGGCGATATAGTATGTTCGGAGAAGAGATGCGAGCCACGTGATTGCTCGCACAATGATTCCAATTTCGGAAATTCTCTTATGTGTCCGAAAGATCAGGCATGTAATATATCATTATCATTATCATTATTCATTTTATTAGCAAACAGAATTAATGCATGCGCTAAGGCATGAATCATAGTTGCGGAATGAAATACAAAAGCTTGTCTTGGAAATATTACGCATATTGCAATGTTCCGTGATGCAAATTTTTTGATACAGTTAATTTTTTCATACCTTTAGCACTGTATTATTGTTACGGAAGATGAGTGCCTGAAAGATAAATGTGATTATCCACGTGGTCGTTGCCTTTCTTGGCTACAAATAAACAGCGAAACAGCACGGCGCATTTGTCGTGAACGTTTGAATGCTGGTGATCAAAATACGCAGGGATGCGCACGAATGTATCTCGAATTTGATATCGACAATTTACTACCGGTAATTTGAATTGTTATGCAATGTGTTAATTTTACATCCTTAAAAAATATTACAAAAACTTTTTAATAATGTTGACCGTCATTCGACTAAGAGTTTTTTATCTCATCTGGAAAAAATATATAAAATTTTTGCTTTTCGTTTCATACTTTTTATTGTGATTTTAATTTGATGCGAAATTTAATCGAAATAAACGGATAAGGCGTTTTGTTGATGACTTTGAGATCTTTTTTTTTTGATTTCGAATTTTTACAGGGGACAACATCGGGCGACGTTTGCTTTCATTTGCTGTTAGATGCCAATGCCGCAAATATCACACATATTGGATTCGATTGCAAGCTAATATCGACTAATACAGTACAAGTGAATATTGTAAGTACTTTGTTTTTATTTTTTTGAAATTAGTAAATGTTGCTAAAATCATTTACATAATGTATTTCCAATTCCTCAAATGATATGAATTTATTTAGTTAATAGCTGATAAATTCGTTTAGAAAAGACAATTAAATATTTGTTGAAGGATGATATATTTGTAAATTAATCGAAAATCAATTACAATTATTTATTTCGAAGTTTAAAAAGCATTTTAATTCTTTATTTTTTTGCAATCATTTATCCTCAGATCTCGCTACAATTTTTAATGGACGTTACGATGATGAAAGATTTCCTGAAGAATCGTATTCTCAATCGTCTAACCACCAGCAAGATACTTGCTGCAGTTGTTAAGATTAACGATAGTGATAATCATGATAGAAACGAACATCCCATGTTGAATGCTATTTTAACACTTCGAAATTCCGGTTCATATCTAAAAATTCATTTTCCTAATCACAACATTGAAGAATACTTGTAAGAAGAGCAAATTTCGTGTTAAAATTAGATTGAAAAGCAAAATTCAAATATTTATAGAATTTATTTTAGGCTTTCTAACAGGCTGCCTTATGACTGCTATTTTACTTGCCACTAGATTTATAAGATTATTTGACATTTATTTCATTATATTTCTTAATAAACTGTTTCTTTAAATTTTCATATTTTAACTTTCCATTTCAGCGATATCGCCAACGACCGATTTCACATCGTTAACAACCAAACAAGTGCTCATCATAATTATTTGCCTTATGTTGCTGATAATTCTCGTCCTCCTAAACATTTCCATTATGAAGAATCCTCATTTTTGCGCTCGGGAACGTTTTGAAGGTTCGCGGAGCAACGATAATCTTCTAGAATTGCAAATGCAACAACCTAACCAAATTTATACAACGCAGGCATTAATCAAATTTGAAAAAGAGAAACAACAGAATATATTATCAAAAACATGTAACCAACAGTTCTTAAATTCATTGAAACGTAACTTTTTTTTCTTTGTCGTGAATTTTAATTGAAGCAAAAATATTTACAAAGTTATTTATTATATTATAATTATTAAACGATGTGATTCTATCTCTGTAATGAAGACTTGTTCTCTTCTTCAAATATATTCATAAATTTCGAATTTGCTGAAACAACTAGCAAAAAAATTTAATTTAGCAAGTGAATAAGTCAAAAATTTTCAGAGCATTGTTCTGCAACTGAACCGTTCGATTCGGGAATTGTTGATCGTGAACTGGAAGAAAATGAAAATAATTCAAGGATTTTAGAACAACGTCGAATGAAATCGAAATTACAAATTTTACACGAATCACAATCTGACAATTCCATCTTAAATCCAATACGATTACAGTTAACTGGTAATAATGTAAAATTGCATGCCTCGAAAAATTATCATTACTAAATGAGAAAATGTCGAGAAAACAATCAGCTCTGTTTCAAATGTATTGATGTATTTATGCGGAGCATAATAATTTTTATATTTCTTGGTTATTCTGTTTTACTTCCAATAATCTTACTCATCACCCAAATCTAAATTTAAATTTTTAAATAATTTTAATAGAGATTATTCACAAATTTGAAAAGTCTAATAGTGTCAATAACGTACAATTTATTAAAGTCTTGACTGAAAAGAAAGGCTTTTTAAGGAGTGATAAGAAAGAATTGCTCCAATATAACAATTTATTTGTATTACTAATATTAACTGTATACTTTACTGTCATCATTTTGTGACTGTTATATTTAGTTTGTGTTAAATATTGCTTTATGTTTTGCAACCAGAAGTTTCTTGCAATTATAATTTCAAACTTTTAAATTTAAATTTTCGAAGGTGATTTTACACTTTGAACTTTTCTTTCCTTGTTCTTATGCGGGATGTCTTTTATTTGTCATTTTATTTCTTTTTTATAAAAAAAAATTCTTCATCATTTTCATGGAAATCAGGTATTTCAAATTAGTAAGATTAAATTTAAGCGAAAGATTTCAAAAAAATAAAATTGATAATTGAACAATTACCATTTCCAATAAATCCAAATTTAACTGTAAAAATTTAAACTGTAAAAGAGAAAAGTTTGTAATTCTTCAAATTGATAATTCTTTAAAGCATTTCACAATTCTTGTCATTTCTAATAATTATTCCACTTAATTATTAAATTTGCCAACTTTTTCTTTGTCCTTATATTCGCTGATAATTGACAAAAATTCATCCAACGAAGCAGAAATGACCATCTTTGATAGGGAAAACGAATTTTGTACGCAATGAAAGTGATGGATGCGAAAATGAAATCAACCGGTTGTCAAGAATTCATTCAACAATTCAGAAATCAATTGCATTGGTTATACTGAAATCCAAAATCTTTCCCTTTTGTAAATATGCAAAGATGTCGAGTATATTAAATTTGAAATTCGAATATTATATTTTCAAGTTACTGTGTTTCTGTTTATTACATTCTCATATTTTTTTATTTACTATTCAATACATGTTTAATATTTTAGTTATAGTAAAAATTTATTGTTTTAACGGTTCGAATGTAACGAAATAAATATTATTAATTAAAAAATTTCTTCATCCAGGCTTAAACGGAATCTATTATGATGCATGTATCTATATGAGTGCAGTAAAAATCGATTTCAATTTTAAAAATAATTAAAATAATACTGAATCTTGGACGTTTGTTGAAAATATTACTTTGTAATTTGTTATACATAAATATTTTTCCTTATTCCTATCTTCAGATCTTTCGTTAAACGACATGACTGACTGATATCACTTTCTTTGGATGAAATTATTCAATCGCGAAAGAGACAATGAAGAGGAAAGCTAATCTGCAGATTAAACAAATATTGTAATTTCAACTTGCTTAAATAAAATTCCAATCAACAAAATTTGAAAAATTCACTTATTCTGGTGTTTTTAGAAATATTTTCGCCGAATATTGGATTGCATGTATGAAATCTTCGCATCATGAGGTTTAAATGCAACAATTTAAATATATTTCTTCTTTCATTCACTTTCTTCCCCAACTTACAGTTAGATAAAAAGTGCTCTCTCGATGCTTTTGAAGCCCAAAATTATCAAATTCAAAAATAATTACATCTTAGTAAAAAAAATTAATTAAAGTAGCAAAGAATAGACAACTAACTAAAAAAAAATTATTGTTTCATAAAACTTTCCTTCCGTGTCCACCAGTGTGCTTCATTCATTGAAAATTCATTCATCGGTCTCTTTTATTTTTTTTTCCTAATGAAGTATCAATATTTGAGATATTTTGAAATGGAGAAAAAAGATGATTGATAAATTTGGATCGCCGCAATGTATTCGATTTACCGAACTGTTATTTTTAACCAAACCATTGGTGTAAACCTGAATTTGACTATGGATTTAAGGCAAAGTACTAAATTTTTAGATGAATGCCATTTGAATGACACATTTTCGGATTATGCACTCACTGTTCCGATACTTTCCTTCCTATTTAAATGTGAGAAAGAGAAAATTACCTTCCATAAATTCTTGCCGAGTATATCTCATTAATGAAAAATTCTTTAATTCTTCCTCATTTCCATATCCATTTATCACTGAAATTTTTTGCCTGAAATTCTGTCCCAATCAGTTTATCTTTCTGTCATCATAGAAAGCAATATTTTGAAGTAATATGGCTGAGACAGACTTTTATGTTGCCGCAAAAATCAATTCCTTTACTTAAATATTTTTTTAACATTTACAGGTACTTCTTTTGGATTTTTTGTGAATAAAGTTTGAAATGAAAAAGTTGCTGCTATGTCTTATATTTTGGAATTTTATGATTGGAGCAGATAGTAAAAGTAAGTAATTATTTGTAATTAATTATTGTTAATTTCACGATGTTGCCATGATAATTTTCTTCAATGCCTCCATTTTTCGTTATGATCTTTCAATGCATTTCATTTCCTTTTTCAGCCAAAAATTTTTTTACCGCGATATCCTGCTAAATTATTGTAATTGCAGTATCCCGAGACTCAATACATGTGAGAGTGCACCAGATAAACTGTACGCATAACACCTCCCACCATCCTTTTACTCAATTTTAGTTTTCCGTTAATAAATGTTCACTAATGAAGGGAAAAGAATAAGAAGGAAATCTGTTTCTTCTTCACTGTGAAAAAAGCATTCAATTTGTCGATAAAGGTCATGAGGTTCAAAGAATCAGTTTTCGAAATGCCATCAATCGATATTAAATTGTCTGTGACATAATAGCTCAGAAAGAAATTAATATATTTATGGAGAGATCACAAAACGATACAACATAAAATATAAAACTCGGAAAATCAAACTCAACTTTTTTACACGCTTCTGTTTGCATTCATTTTGAATCAGTCGGAAAGCATTTTGAATTCAACTCAAAGATTCAATTCATTTCACAATCTCATTTCTCATTTAGATTTTGTTACTTCTTTATGAACCGATGTTTCGTAGCAGTTAAGTAATTTAGCGTTCAGATATGCAAATATTCGATTTGCAATTCGTTTTCAATGGATTATTACATTTGAAATTTTATAATTGTATCTTTTTAATAAATATGTATTAGTTTGATGTTCATAGCCATTTCAGGTTGTAGGGTACAGAAAGACTGCGATGAAGATCAAATTTGTGATGAAAAGAGATGTATTCCGGATTTACAGCCCGTATTGGCAATGAAAGAATCAAAAAAACAATCTCCATGTAAATTATTCAAATTGAATTGTTGTAAACGTTTGAATTTCAATTCTGACGAAATTTTCCAATTTCAAAAAATAAGTTTTTATCTCATTTCTGTAAAAAAATAAGGTAGTCTGGAAAAGTTTTTCACATTTAAACTTTGTCTTTTAATGAGATTGGGGAAAAGATTACCTTTCATATATTGAAGTGTTATCAATGTTGCGCCTGCGCAATTGTCGCCGATATCAAAAAATTTCATTGATGGGAATTAGATGTTTCAGCAGATTTCATTAGAAAAAAGGGAAAATAAAACATATGAGAGGTATATTTCAGATTGTTACACTAATTATCACTGCAAATATTGGCAGAAATGTTTGAATGGTGTATGCATGCAAAATTTCGGATCTCTACCGAGGATGGGTAACTTGGAGGGACTGATAGCGCCCTCATCCAGCTCAAAACCCGTCATGCGAGAAAAAATACCATACCTGGAAACCCATGAGACTGCATTTGAAACGCCGAAGAAAGCAACATCTGAAACGGCAAATAAAACGTCATTCGATGCACCACGTGAAGCAACATTTGAGGCGCTGAATGAAACGACATCTGGTGCGGTGGATGAAACAAGAAATCAAGAGTTAGGGGTGACAGTATCTCTTGTATTGGATGAAACAGTTCCTCAGATAGCAGATGAAGAGATATCCCAAGCAGTGGATGAGACGCAACTTCAGACATCTACTGAGACAGTATTTTTAACGACAACTATGGCTGACTCTATCCTATCAAACTCAGAAATGAATTCTTGGATTTCAAAAAGTAATTTTATGAAACAAATAAGATTAGACAATTGTAAGCTCGCTTATTTTACGTCATATCTTTTGATAACCTAATATATTTCATTTGATTATTACTTTGTTATCTTTTAAAGAATGTTATTTTGAATATTATTTCAAAGCTTCTTGTATGAATTAGTTTTAATTTGACCTTGTGCAATTTGTCATTTCAATAATCATCAGCTATAATGTAATATTCATTTCAGCAACAATATGCAGAGTCAATGCGGATTGCACAACCAACGAAATTTGTAGAGACAGGAAATGTATACCCGTGGATTGGCTTCCAAATACCATTGGTAAAATGAATAAAATTTATTCATAGCTTAAATTGATGTGAAATCAAATTTTAATAAAGTTCACTGCTCTTCACTTTTAGCGTGTGCGAATGATAGTCAATGTAATGTTCAACAGCTTTGCGCAGTTGATGGATATTGTGTTCTCGATCCGTCGTTCCCAAAATTTGGCCCAAGTAAATCAATAAAGCAGATTGATGAAGTTGCTTGAATAAGTTTGTCGAAGGCGATAAAGATGATAAATTCATATAAACTTTTATGTTCTACCAATATTGGTGAAATTTAATATGATAGAAGAACATCATCTTTTCAGGATGTGACACCAATAAAGACTGCAAAAAATCAGGAATTTGCCGGAATGGACGCTGTTATATTTCCTATCCTTATACAAGTAATAGATTAATCAATTTCTGATATGATGAATGAAGCAATGCTGTGCGATGTGTTTCAGTGGTCGAGAAGAATATGTAAGTAAAGCATTTTAGAGTGCAGAACCAATGAGCAATGCGCAATTGACGAAATTTGTGTTGTGGCAGGTTACTGCGTTCCGGATCCGCATTCTAAACTGCATGGAGCAGGTAAGTATTCTGGGCGTCTTTTTTGATAAGAAATAAGTTCAGTATTAGAATTGTATTGACCTCAACATGAAAAAGCAATAATGGAGTGGAGAAACTATTGTCTCAGTATTTCTGCCATAGCGATCAATATTTACTATTAATTTCTAATTTTTTTAATTTCATAATTAGGCTAAAAAATGTATTTATCCGTGCCGTTGCATCGTTTCGTCATTTTGCCAATTATTATCATGGGCGAAATTTTTTATAAATTAATAATATGAAAAATTTGTTTTAGAACCTTGTGACGAATCGTGGTGGCAATTCAGGCAAAAATGTTATCTTCCGGTATTATGAAGTGTTCCAGTTTTGTTTCTTATCAAAAGTTTCAAGAAACTCTTTACAGTTTCGGGAAAGTGCAAATTCTATCCTTTGATTATTTCAGGTCCACGGTAGTTTCACATTTACAGAGGGATCTGATTACTGTGCTAAAGTAGATGCAAATTTGGTTACAATCAGAGATATTCAACAAGCAAATTATGTAAATTGTGAGCAGTTTTCAATATATCAGTAGTAATATCAATGATAAAGCAATGAAATGCTGATAAGAAAACATCCGAACCACGGGAATTATTCGATGATCATTAACATTTTCCGTGAACAACCTATTTTCAAAATTTATTCTTGCCTTTCCCGATTTTTTTGGACTAAAGTTTTCGGGATTAACTTTACTCATTGACTTTCTATTTTAGACATGTATAATGCGGGTGGAAATGGCACGTACTGGATAGGTCTACTCAAAGACATCAATGGCATTTTTAAATGGCAAAGCGGTGAATCGGTGATTTACACCGACTGGGAGAAAGGAAAGCCGGAACCGCGGATAGGATGTGTGATTGCGGATGTCACGAAATTTGGTGGGAAATGGTTCATAACTGATTGCATTGAAATAATGTCTCCGGATCAGGGATTCATTTGTGAGAAGGATGTCCACAGGATTTAGGGTCAATTTCTTTTAAATCTTCTGTTGATTAATTTTTGATTTTCCACCGATAAAATTTTTGAAAAATAGCATCTCTGCTCCTTGAATTTTTATTTTTTTCAACTCTGAACTTCTGCCGTTTGGAAATTGAATTCTTTTCTTTGCGATATTGTAATATTTTTTCCGCTTTCGGAATAACTCGGCTAAATAGCGCTTTGTATTATTGTTTCTTGTCGATTATTATTGACAGAAACATTTTAGAGCAATTGTTTCATTTTTATCGCAAAAAATTTAATTCTTTTTTCCATTTAGACTGTCAATTCTTCCATTTGCTTTTCTAACAAGCATGGATTTAAAGAAAAGTGATAAATTTTGTTGTTGAAAAATTTAAATCTAATGAATCGAGAAAATTTTTGCTGAGATATTAAAACTACGAAAGAAATATTGGATCACTTTGTTTAATCCCGCGCCTTTATCTTTTTGCCGAACATTCTGTCCACTTCCCTCCTTAATTTTCCCTTTCGATAAAAGAAAACGAAAAGAGATCATTTCGGCGCGATGATATGTAAATTTGTAATTAACTTAATTATGACTAAAATTATTTAACAAATGCATTGCCTTTTGGATAGGCTCACCCTCTAAACACGTTCCTTAAACACTTAAGTGATTTAAAGAGAATAAACGTATTGTTCAAAAAAAATTGATTTATTTCTTGCAGTTTTAGTATTTATAAACTTATAGATTTGAAGTCATTTATATCAAAATAAAGAATGATATGATATATTAGGTGTTAAAAAAATATTAGTTTAATCAGATAAGTATAAAATAAATTCATGTTCAATATCTCTACAGTTTTAGCGATGACCAAATTTTTAAATACGTTTTCGTAATGCTTATTTCTTAAAAACTAATAACAATCAATGAAAGTCAATTATAATGACTTAAAATGTATTTTTAAAATATTATAACGTGCAGGAAAAAGTGACAGAACAGTCAATCAATAATAATTTATCTTAAAAATTTATTACGAGTGAACTGCAAATTTGATGGATATATGTCTTAACTGATTAAATGGCTTCAATCTCAGTGAAATGATAGTATGAAAAAATGAGCAAATAATTCACTATGTGAAAAATGACGAAAACAAAATGTAGAAAAAACAAATTATAGTCATCTAAATTATCGAGCAAATTTTGACATTTAAATGTCTCATATAATAATTCAAATGAATAACCTTTCCAACACTAACATTTACTTCTTATGGTAATTTAAATAGGTATTTTAAACGCATTTGTATCTTTTTTTATTTAAATATATGTTGAAATGTTGAAATTACGAAACTTTTCAACTTATAATTCATTATTGTTTGCAAAAAGAAAAATCAATATTTCAAAGATGTAAGAGACATCATAAGGTTAATTGATTATTATCTTAATTAAATAATTTACCTCTTATTTAATAGACACCGTGAAAACTACAAATTTATAAGTCATCAATTAATATTCAAACTTTTTTACCAGTGGAAATTGATGAAAATTGGTATGAATAGTAGAATGAGGAAAGCAAAATATAATTTGCATCAAAGATTTGAATTTGAGAAAGTTTCGATTGATTCAGAGAGAGCAATTTACAATCATAGCAATTAGTGATGAAAAAAATTTTCTACGCTAAAGATGTCAAAATTGTCACGAAAACAAGTAATCTATAAAAATGACACTCAACCTTCTTTCGCTCTTTGTCATCAATTTCTTCAAGTGAATCAGGAAATTACGATTCATGATTGATCATCCTCTGAAATCATACTCTTTAATATAATGATCTATCCACTGTGTCGTTCAAAAACTTCAAAAGCCTAAATTAATTTCTTATAGGAAATAGACATCTTTTTGTCTTTTATTTAAATGTTTAATTTGTCACTTTTAGTTGGAATTGTTTTTTTGGGTCTTACAACATCATTTGATACCTTTTACTTTTCATTTTCGGTCATTTTCGAATTTCACTATCAAGTTTTAGTATTCGTTGACTTCGATGTTTCATTGTTTTCATTAAATTATCGTTTTTTTTTTTTTTTGGGAATGCTGTCATCTCTGTTATAAAAGACGTAAAAGTAAACTTCTTCTGGTGTTCCTAATAATTCAATTCTACTTTTATTTGAATTGAATTTGAGTTTTTAATATAAGTTCAAATAATTCAGAAAAATTAAAGTCTTCGTTTACTCGTTAGAAACATTAAAAATTTTTTGCAATAAAACGAATGTGCTTCCTAACAATGTCAAAAACTTTTTCTTCCTTCGCCAAAAACACTTTTTAGCGTGTCGAAATTCATCTTTGCACTCAGCAATTTTTCTTATCGTTTCCAACTAAACAATTCAAAAGGCTTCCTTTAGCATACTTTGTTGTGAAAGTTGGTTTATTTTGAGGAGGATTATAGGATTGTATTTCCTTGAGGTGAGATGATCGTTTTATTATATTACGATCTGATGGATTAGGCTTGAATTCCTGATTCTGATCTTGGCCTAGAATATTTGTTCCAGACACTATTGAATTTGATGTGATGACTACGCCAACAGATGTAGTTTATTGGATAGTATGAATATGTTGACGACAATAACCGAAGTTGACTGTGTGTAAAGCTGCCAAAATTAACAATGATCCCAAAATCTCGCAGTCACCTTATTTAAAGACAGTTGCAACAAAACGGATGG